CTTAGTTTGACTGAATGTTATTGGCAGCAGAAGCTAAGGGCTGATATCCAGGGGCGTTAATCTTCTGGAAGCTAACTGACTCCTAATCAATCTGCCTGTCTGTGCACGCTCACAGCTAGCAGGGAATCAACTGGTGAAGTTCTTAGTCGAGACAATCAACAGTCACTGGAATAAAGACAGAAACAATCTAAGATTCCCTGTCACTGAGCTCTGATCTTTCCCCAGGAAGTCAACAGTGGGAATTTATCTGTGAAACAAAAATATAAAAATCATTTCAGACCCAGTATTAATTTTTCCTCCCACCTTCTCTTCATTGTTTACCACAACGTCGCTCTGTGCTTTACTACTGTATCCATGCAATAGAATCAATACTAGAACATTTTATTGCTCTTCGCAGGAATATTTATGGAAATGTATTCATTTCGCCGGAAACATTTTTTTCTAAGGACAAACTCACCAGCTCTCTTCTATTCAAGTAATTAAAGCCAACTTTTCGCTCAGGGCTGGAAAATATTACAAAAATTCTTCACTGTGATTCTGTCCACAAATCTTGTTTTTTTTTTATTTTACAAACCAGCCCCCTCCCCCCAAGACACGGAATTATATTTACAAAACTAAATATCTGGTTTGGAGGATTCCGCAGCGCTCCTCTTCACTGATTCTTCATCATCACTCATTACTGATAGCAGCTTCTCCATTAAAACCTTGATGTCAGTATTTCAGCCTGATCGTAAACTACAATCTGAGCCACTGTCTGTCAAATTTATCTTCGTATTAAAATAGAACTAATTCTAAAATAGAATTATTGTATTTGAAAATCAGTATTCTATCGCAAAAAGACAATAATTCCACTCTCCACCCACTTTTACACATTTGGTTATTTAAACACACTGTGGGGAAATGTTTAAAATTCCAGCATGTTTGTTCTTGTCTTTTTGTTCCAGGAATATAAAGAAAAATCATTTAGGGATGTTTATTTAACTCGATTAATCACGATTAATCATGATTAATGATTGCTGGTGATTAATCCACAGCTGCACTGTGATCACTCAAATTAAAACGTTTCAATAATTTGATACTGAATATAAAATATAAAATTCTTCACATGAACAAACAGCTGTTGCCGCGATCTCCCCGCCTCTGGACACATGAGTCCTAATTAATCACCACGAGACAACGACTCATTTGTTGCCGTGTGCTGATAAATGGTCTCTGCTGAGAAATGTTCAATTTAACATTCAAATTTGTGTCACAGGATCCACTCAGCCATGGCGTCCAGGCAGGGGCTGGTTGGAAGATGACACATACAGGCAGATAACAAGACGCCTCACGAGGGGCCTGTGCTTTAAAACTGTGTGCTTTCTATTTAGAGCTGCTGCAAAGTGTGGGCCGTTCCCACGACAAAGACTGAAGGACGCACAGCATTACTGAAATGTATATGATATTAAAGTCAAACGCAATAAACGTACATAGAAGAATCAACATACAGCAGGACACAGGATGTAAAAAAGGAGGAGAGGAGACGAGAGGAAAGGAGAGGAGAGGTTGGGGACCTAGCACATAAATTGTGCAGAGAGGAGATAAAGGAGGTGGGTGTATTAAGATAAATGACAGGAGAGGAAAATAAAGAATAAGAAGAAGTAAAGAGAAGAATCTAATTTATGTGCAAGTTTATGTGAAGAAGAGGAAATGAAGGGGGAGGACAAAGGGAGGGGAGAATAAAGGGGGAGATGGAGAGGAGAGGGCATTGGATGAAAGACATGGAGACAAAAACAAAGCAGAGAGAAAATGATTTACAAAAATGAGAGGCGTGTAGACGGATAACTGTGAAGGAAAATACATGGAAAGTGTGGAGACAGAAGCGGGTGAGAGGGTGAGGAAGTCAGGAAGGAAAGGAAACAAGCAGAACAAGGAGAGATGATGGAGAGGGGCCATGTGAAAAGAAATGAAAACAGGTGAGAGGGGATAAATGAGAAAAGGAAAAGGCAACAAAAAAGGAAGAGGAGGAGGTAAAAAATAATGAGGAGTGGAACTCAAGTAGAGGAGAGGACAACAAATGAGGAGAGAAGGAGAGAAGATTGGTGGGGCAGGATGGCAGGAAAGGTCACTGACTCAGCAGCACAGAGCAGCATCTGTGGAAGCAGAGTTTAATGACCTCCAACCACTTCATCAGCCTGTGTGTGAGACAGACTCGGGGCGGCGTTTGTGGGGCCATAAACGCCGCGGCCTCTGCCGTCAACGTACAGCAGGAGACGTGACTCTTTCTGCCACCGCGCCTCGGCAGCACTGTCGTCTTCATCTACACGTCTAAGAGGGATGACGCTAAGACAATAGCTGAACAGATGGAGCTCCAACACACTTCGCTGACGCTGAGGAGGAAGTGAACACCACGCTTCTGCCTGAACTCAAGTCTTACAGCCGGTTTGTTGCCATGACACACAAATCAGAAGAAGAAAAAAAAATAGCAGAGTAAATAAATAAAAAGTCAAATTATATTTTGGTGGCCATGTGGTCAGCAGGCTAGCCTTACAGGAAATAGAGGTCAGAACCCAAAATAAAAACAATAGCAAACCATGTGAACCAACCGATAAGACCGGTCAATATTAGCATAATTATGTAATATAATTTCTGGAAGAATCGTATAGCTTCCTCCGATAATAAAAACCAGATAAAACAATGCTGATGTGACCTAAAAAATGTTTTTTTTCTAAATGATAAAGTGAATTATTGTCATTGTGACACAGAACACCACTTCACACAATGAAATACATCCTCTGCCTTTGACTCAAACGGAACCAGAGATTAAGTGTTTGGTCTACATCGACATAATTGGATATATCTGCAAAAAGTCAATATCAGACATCAATAATATGAAACAGACTACAGTCCATTTGACTGGTATATCAGTCATGGACTTACTGTCTCTTGCTCACTGATGCTGGTCGAAGGCAAACCGAATTGGTATTCTAAGCTCAAGATGCTTCAGAGAAAGTAAGTATTAGTGATGAACTTTTACAAAATAGTGTAATAAAGCGTGTGTCATTTTGTCCATGAACACTGGCTTTGCTTCTAAAACCATGATAAAATGCACCAGTCAGAAAGTATAAACTCACACTTCTACTTCGGGGCAGTTTTGACCCGATAAACACTTCGTCACAGGTGAAGCTGCTCAGAGCTGCAGAAACACAGTCCGACCACCGCAGCCGTTACGACAAGGACACTACTGCTCATGCGGACGGTTAGCACGACATCGGTCTAAATCTCATCTTGATTTATTTAAGGATGACGTCGTCTGAACTACAGCAGGATCCTACAGGGTCGCTGTGCGAGAAGATTTTTAATGCCCTGCGTCCTCACACGTCACAGCGATGATGTGTGGGATTCTGTACAGTATCTCTGCAGTAGTCTGACTAAGCCAGTTTTCAAAAACACCCACCATTCTGGATCAGGGCCAGTTGGGTTTCTTTCAGACTATCTGCTGGAGTAAAATCCCGGCTGTTGGCAGATACAGTATGACATTGACACCTAGGTGGGAGCCTGCAGTGTGCCCATCACCAACAGAGCTGTTTATATCCAGCTGTTCCACTACTCTGTTTGGAGTAGGTGGATACTGTAGGGTCACTCTCCATACAGTCCACCACGCACAGCAAACAAGACCCTCCGAACTTTGACTGCAATACATTTTTTTCACTTAAAACAAAACAAAACAAAACAAAACAAAATATCTCTTAAGATATTAAATCTGGATTTAGCTGAGCCAAATTTAATGTTACACTAACTTCGGTAACTACTGATAATTTCACTTTTCCTATTTAGGAAATGATAATGTTCATTATTACACTGTGTTTATATCAACCTCAGAAAAAAACAGAAAATGCTGAGACTAATGATTGACCAGCCTAAAAACAACCATATCTGACTTAGTCAATGTAAAACAGAGTTTCATTTCTGCTGTAAAAAGATTAATGCATTTTAAAGTCTGTCTGCACTGGGATAATATGCCAAATGAGACACAAAAATCAAACTAATCAATGATTAAATAATCATTTCTGCTTCTTAAAGCTTTCCAGAAATTAAACATTAATTTATCAACTCTGCAGTTTAATCACTGTGTCATTCGGGCCTGATTGTTGAAAAGAAACCGTTTCTTGATCTTAGCCTTCATGCTAACTGCGGCTACAGCTACAGCTACTTCATACTCAGAAATTTGATGAAAGATGAAACTATCGATGAGAGTTTCATGTTGTGTGGAGTGTGGGCTGGAATTGTTTTGCAAACTGTACTAAGGTTGTCGTCCTGTGACATAATAAAAACATTTGAACCAGAAAAATGTCTTTAGCCCATGCTAGTTGTTTAGCTCATCTGCTAATTGATCTGCTGACATTGCAGTGGAGAAACCCTACATTATTGGACAATAAAAATCCGCTTAAATGATTTAAGATTGTCTTAGTATGATTAGTGTCAGAGAATTTATCAGAATATTCATTTATTATGATTATTTTGCGTTTATTGGGCGGTCCTAACCTTCTTTTATTTCTTGACTAACTGCTAATATATAGCAACAATGTCAGGTAAGTACAAAGTACAAGGAAAATAATAAAAAATATAATTTTATGTGGCCACAGATAAACATTGTCTACTATTTTGGTTCGTTTATTTTATGTTAAAATGACTTAAACAACATCCCATAATGATGGAAGCACAAGTCCAACGTTCACTCACAGATGAGTCATTTTCTTGTACAGCACATTGACACTGGAACTATATTAACAAAAATTTGAAAAATGAATAAATAAAAACGATAAACCTGACGCTGTGTTTACATACGACAAGATTAACTTAACTTTAGGTGAAGGCCGTGAAACTTGTGACGTTGCAATGAAAGCCAAACCCGTGTCGTACATCGTAAACAATTCATTGTAAATGACAGACTAACATTTAATTTCAATGTTAAATTCGTGAAATAATGGCGTAATTTAACCCAGTAACTGTGTATTTACCTTTACTTTGGTCAACAACGTCGGGTGGTTGTCCGGCAGGTGATGGAATATGTTGGATGTATTTCCTCCTTTCACTCGTATTCTTTTAATCCTGACACGACTAGGCCACGGTCATTTTTCGGTCGCCAAAATAATTCCACACGTTTGATTAAATGCGCTTGTTCGGGGGGCGGGGGGTGGATAACTTCTGCCATTTTGCCTCCAGTTAGCCACGCCTCTTTTCTTAACTTGCAGGGACCGATAAAAAAGCAACACACGCCGCAACATGCGGATGTTGTGTAACTCTGTTTTCATTCCCTCTGAGTTCCGGCATATTATTTTCTAGCTGTATTCAGGAAATAATAAATTAACCTTAGCGCTGGATACCGCGATAAATTATCGAGTACGTCCGTACACGTAATCCAATAACTCAATTACTTTCATTATGTTCCTGTTGAACATGTGAGTGTGTTTGTTACATTAAATAACTGAAATGCCTGAAATGAGCATAACAACAATCCTTCCTCTGTTGCTCAGAACTTAATACCTATATTTATACTCGTAACTACCTGCTGGTAGTGTACAGTAGTACACCTCTTTATGTTGTCAAGTACAGAGCAGCCATGTTGTCCAGGATCTGTAAACCTTCGATCTGCCCAGGCACTCAGATCATCTCTGCTGGAGGCTTCGCTGACGTCCTCCAGTGCCAACCACACGGTCGTGGTCCCATTGAGCTGAGCATGAATTAATAATCAGCCCACTGTTAACAGAATGGGCTTTTAATGGGACTTACTCGTGTTTGACAACAATAACTGAAACAAAAGCTTCAATGCAAACTGAGTACAGGGTCAGTCTGTGTCAGGTTGATTATATTGGAAGTGAATATGCAAACTCATCCTGGAGCAGTGGTATTCAAATAAGGGTTTGTGCTCCTTTTGAGGTACGTACATTTTTTTTAAAAAGTATCCCAGGTTGAAGTACAGGTCAAAGTAAAAACGTTTCTCTTCATATCCACCATTTAACATTAAAGTCTTCGGAAAACAGTTCTGGGGTCAGGATCGGTTCTTTGCAAAATTTTGGCCAATGTTCAATTTTGATTTGGAAAAAATGTCCAAACTACAGTTCATAGTTTTAAGAAAGTCTTAAAGACTCCTGTAGTAATACTGTGAGTTTGTAGTAATCTGTGGATGAGGTAGATGTGAAAGTATACAGGTAAATAAACATATCTGAATAATAAACATCTTGTTGTTGAAGTTGTCAATAAATAGAAAAACCTGCTATTGCTATTTGATAAAACGTAGTTTATTGTGAGTAATTAATTACTCTAATTTAAGCATTTATACCTTGTTCATGTAATTTTTGTGAGTAATTAATTCTAATTTAAGCATTTATACCTTGTTCAACCACCTATAAAAATCTGACATGAGTAAAATGACAACATTTGTCTTAGAACTTTTTGACTCTTGTAGATCTGGGGGGGGGTCCGTGGTGGGGGGGGGGGGTGGTTTCCATACAGACAATAGAGTAAAGATTGAAATGTTGTAGTGAAGACAGTGACTTTCAACATGAGTTTCAGTGTAAAACAAAACAATAATAATGATGTTAATAATTAGCCAACAAACGGGATGGAAACTCGGGGTGGGTGGACGGGGGGGGGGGGCAGCTGCCACCCCCTTGAATCGCCACTGTTTGCCCGGGTTATGAGGGTATTATAAATGAAACACACACAGTAAAAACCAACGTCCTACCTTTCCTCCGGTTACGGCCGCGGCGGCCGCGTTGGCAGCGGCGGCGGCGGCGGCAGAAAGGTGTCGGTGACGCTGCGGTACTTATCCAGTTTTCACACGTCGGCCGTGGAGCATCACTGTCAGCCGGCTCTGCTCTGACTGCAGGGTAAACAAGAGGCTCCTTTTAAAGCAGATTGCTGTAGGATCACAAATGGACCTGTTTTATCCGTCAGACCTGATGACACCCCCCCAGCCCCCCTCCCTGCCCGGCACCTTCCCCACAGCGCAGCGGTGCTCTGACAGCGGCTCACGGGCTCGCAGGAGGATCCATCACCGCAAGAAAACGCAGTGAGGAGGCTGCCGGTGGAAGAGACGCAGCGGCGGCGGCAGCATCAGCATCAGTGGCGGCGGCCGGGGTTTGGCCCTGGGGGAAACCAAAAGATGGGGCCACGGGGGCGGGG